AACCATTTTGTCTTTTTGCATTTCTTTTTCTTGGGGATGGTCTTGATCACTGCCTCCTGTACAATGTCATGAACTTCCATCCATAGTTCTTCAGGCACTCTATCAGATCTAATCCCTTGAATCTATTTCTCACTTCCACTGTACAATCGTAAGAGATTTGATTTAGGTAGTACCTGAATGGTCAAGTGGTTTACCCTACTTTCTTCAGTTTAAGAGTGAATTTGGCAATAAGGAGTTCATGATCTGAGCTATAGTCAGCTCCTGGTCTTGTTTTTGCTGACAGTATAGAGCTTCTCCATCTTTGGCGGCAAAGAATATAATCAATCTGAATTCAGTGTTGACCATCTGGTGATGTCCATGTGTAGAGTCCTCTCTTGTGTTGTTGGAAGAGGGTGTTTGCTATGACCAGTGCGTTCTCTTGTTAAAACTCTACTAGCCTTTGCCCTGCTTCATTCTGTACTCCAAGGCCAAATCAGCCTCTCATATTCACCATATCACAGATCTTCAGTCAGTCAGATAATGTTAGGGGACATGACTGACAAACCAAGTGTGATTCTTCTCCTGGGGCAGAAGAGAAGGAGGCTATGAATATACATGCATCAATTTTATGCTCTCTTGACACATTGATTTGACAGTTGTAGAGTCTGAATTGCAATTATATAATTTTATATTATACATTGTATTTCTGAAGAAAGGCCAAAAGAATACATCTAAAGGATACTAAAACTGCATCAAGTCTTTTCTTTAATGATAAGAATTTCTCTTTTTCTCTCTTCTTTTTTATTTAAGATAGGAAAAATTTGGAGGTTTACTGATTTGGATCAAGTCAAATTCACATACACCAAATTAATGGTCTTCTTGTGTAGTGTTTCTAAAGTATGTTATGTGACTGTTAATATTTGTTCTTGTACATTTATTGAAACAAATATTGGAAAATATAACTAATACATCCTTATTTTATCCCTAGAATAGAGTTTAGGGCAAAAAATTGAACAAATTAACATCAAGTAACAGATGCTGGGAAAGATTGAGGGCAAGAGGAGAGTGGGGTGACAGAGGATGAGGTGGTTGGATGGTATCACTGTCCCAGTGGACAGGAGTTGAAACAAATATTAGAAAATGTAACTAATACATCCTTATTTTATCCCTAGAATAGAGTTTAGGGCAAAAAATTGAACAAATTAACATCAAGTAACAGATGCTGGGAAAGATTGAGGGCAAGAGGAGAGTGGGGTGACAAAGGATGAGATGGTTGGATGGTATCACTGTCCCAGTGGACAGGAGCTTGAGCAAACTCAGGGAGATAGTGAAAGACAGAAAAACCTGGCATGTTGTAATTCATGTGGTCACAGAGTCAGACATGATTTAGTGACTGAACAGCAACAAACTGAATAAACTAAAATGGCAGTAATAATTAAGAGTCCTCTGAAAATTTTTATTTTGGTATTTTTAAATTTGTCATTTGAAAAGAACATAAGTAAAATCAAATGTTACACAAGTCTGTCTAACGTTGGGAAGGGACTTTGAAAATGACTGAAGATCGTCAGGGACCATTGCGTTTTTTGTCACTTCCTCTGTCTGCTGGGCCGTTTCGCTCCCCTGGTAACTGTGATGAGCTCCTTTCATTGCCCTGCCTCAGCCCAGGCTCAGAGATGCAGCTTAACCCGCTCGAGGACTTACCTTTTCTTCTTGTGGCTGCTTGATATTTCCTGATTCTTTTCTGGGAACATCTGTCTGCCCCTGTGATGCCTACTTCAGCTTGCTCTAGCTACACACCTGCTTGGTGAAGCAAAGGTCAACTCTCCACAGAATTCTCAAGCAATCCTGAGCAAGGAGGCAGATTATCTTTAACATTACCTTTGGTGTCCTTGGGACATCAAAGAGTCCACATCAATTAAAAAAAATTTTATTTCTGTCACTGTTCTGATTGACAACTTCTACTCCTCTATTAGAATGTAGAGAATTTTATCTTAAGTCAAATAAGAGATTAAATTGAAAATAAATGTTCTCAGTTAAAATTTTTTTTTTAAAAGCTTGTGAACCTGAAGTCAAGACGCTTGTCAACTACCTATAGAGTCTTTCCCTGTAAATGGTCAATAAACATGACTAAAAATCACTATCTTACAATGATAATGTGTATATAATGTGATTGTATTTCCAGTTCACTACACAAGGAACCTAGCAAGCTTTTCTGCCAATATGTCCTATGATTATTAATTATTCCCCTAAGAACTGGTAATAGCAGTATTAATTTGAAAAGGAATGGATTTTTCCTGCTAAAGTGTGACAGTTTGATTTATAATTTCCCTTTTTGCCTTACTCAGACATCGCTTAGCACTCTCACTTTCAAGGCCTGACCACATGAGGGGAGCCACAATAGGTAAAGACATTGATCACATGAACCCATATAATAAAGACTTGACTTTAACTTAGTAACTGGACATGCTAGGGAGCAGGTACCTTGGCAATCTTATGGCACTTAAATCCACCAGTGAATTGTCCACTAACCAGAGGGTTTCAACTCGAATTAGTCTTCTAAGAATCCTGTTAAAATTTTCAACTTGATAAGGGTCCCCCAAATCCTGAAATGAAAGGTTCAAATTCTGAAGGGAAAAACAAATAAAAAGAAAAAGCAAGTGCTATGTCAACTTTTAAAAATAGTTATTAATTTGAACTGTTATATATTTAAGTCAGCAGTTTTTACTGTTTTGTTTTTTGGTCTTGTAAAATATTCACACATCCACACACTCACAATTATTGCAGAGATTTTCAAGATAGGGGAGGAGGGTGAAGATATTGACGGGATTGTTTCAAATTAAACACCAGGTGGGAGGTGGCAGGTAGAGATGGAAAGACCCTTAAATTTTGAAATTTTTCTAGGTATGAAAAGTAGAGGGGGTAAAGCATTGTTTGGGTTTATATGATTAGTTATCTTTGAAAGTGAAAGTCACTCAGTTGTGTCCAACTCTGCAGCCCCATGGACTATACAGCCCATGGAATTCTCCAGGCCAGAATACTGATGTGGGTAGCCATTCCCTTCTCCAGGGGATCGTCCCAACCCAGGGATCGAACCCAGGTCTTTAGCCTCCTTGGAAATACTCAGAAATCTCATTTATAAAAATTTCAGAGTAAGATGCCATCATTCAAAAGATGGAAAATATGATTTTATTTTAAAATAACCAGGGATATATACATATACATATACATAATGTGGCATATTTCTGAGATAGTGGATATTTTAGTTTTACTTTTAACATCAGTCAACTTTGGTGTCAAGGAGATTAAAACCACTCTTAGTGGTAGCATTGCTCTTGTAAACTCTATTTCTAAAAGTCAACTTTACTTTTTTTATTTCCAAAATTTTGCCATCAATTTCTGTGACTAGAAATTATTGCGTAAGATGACATTCCTTTTTTTAATGTGAAGCAAAATAATTTACTATTTTTAAAGAAATACAGATATCTCTATCTAAAAAAGGTCTTGATATATTCAGACATTAAACATTATGAAATTTGATACCATAAGTTCTATTTTCCCAAAGTATAAAAGGTCTTCATTCTAAACTAAACTAAAGAAATATTGAGATTATATCTATCATTTCCACATTAAACATCACCTTCTCAAATAGGCTGCATTTCCCAATAAGTTTTTCTGTGATGGATTAGGGTTCATTCAGCCATTCGCTTGCAGTATAGTTAACTAAAGGCCAATTTAACTTTCTATGAGAAATTTTTAGCAAGGTACCACTGGCCTTTGCAATATATCCACAGTTTAAATGACAGCTATAAAGAACAAATGCATGTATACACTGGAATGATTACTTTTAAAAAGAATCCTGGGAGTGGAGGTTAAAGTTTTAGGTGTGTTGTTTAAATTTTTCAAATAAATAAGTATGTGCGCTATATAAATTTTTAGAATGGAATGTAGCCATTATATGTGACTAATTTAAATTAATTTTAGAAAGAAAAAAAAACCACTGAACTGGGAAATAATATTCTACTTTCCTTGCTTCCCTTAATAAGTTGTGTGACCTTGGGCAAATTGTTTCTCTTTCTAAACTTTCCTTTCCTTTTTCAAAGAAAAGTGTTTGGACCAGACCCAATCTGAAGCTCCTTCCCAACCCCTAATTCTAGAATTCTATGACATACAAGATTCATCTGTGAAACAGAAGAGGCATTGGGAGATCCCAATAAGTCTCATTTCTGGAAGATTTCCTAAAATCCTCCCATGCAATTTGATCACTTTGAAAAACAAAAATATTGGCATCTTACTCTGTTATAAAGAAGTTCATTTATTCATTTGTTCTTTTCATTCTTTTATTCATTTATTCTTTTATTGCTACCAATGCTTATTTTTCACAGTTAAGTCTTCAGTTCTCTGCTTATTCATGACTTGAAAGCTTGAGTGATGGCAACCCCAGAGGTGGGTAGTGGTTGAGAGCTAACTATGGGAATTGTTTCAATGCTAGTGGCTCAGCCAGCTGAGTCATTTTCAGCACCAAGAAACCACACTTCAAATCCTTCACTGCTGAAAGTTTGATTTGTTCCAGGATAGCTCTGTTCAGACCCCAGTGGCTGCCCTAGATCATCAAAACTTTTAACTCTTAACCACATCATTCAAAGGAGTCCAGATTACATCATATACTCATTGATAAGGATTATCGTTCAACACGACTTTTTTATTATCAAAAAGCCAATTTCATTCTCTGTTCTTTTAAACTTTTTCTAAAGTTCAGCAATATCAATATAAAATGAAGATTAGAAAATAAGTAGCATGCCTTGATGAAGAGAAAGGGTGGAAAAAAGAGATGGAATGCCAGTCACAACTATTTTCAGAGAAATTTCTAGAGATGTGCTTAAAGGTTTGATGTTTATTCTGCAATTGACCTTTTAAAAAAATGCCATAATTTAGTCAATGAAGGAAATACACTTTTTCTTTTTTTTTTTTTAAGCTCTCACCGTGCAGTCCTCCCAGTTTTCTTGCAGCCACGTTTCCCATTTGTTTTTTTCAAGGACTCTTTTCTGTGAAGGCAAAGTACATCCCTCCTGTCTGAAGGGCAGCTCTTCGGCAGAGGGTCCTGAGCGGAAATCACAAGGTGAGATCTTGGAAGTAGGTTCAGGAAGACAGGACCAACACCCTCACTGGATGCTTGACTGGTTGTTTTAAATTTTCACTTGATATCAGGACTGAGGGAGACAGGATTGAACTCTTATGCCCCAATAGTGTGAGCAGTAACAAAATGTGATGTATGTGACTAAATACACTTCTGCCTGCCTAATCAGGCTGGGGAGAGCTGGGGACAGAAGAGGAGCCAGGACTTGATCACTATGAATGCTTTCTAATTGTTTAAAATTATTTTTCCTGAAATTTTCTGAATAACTCTCATGTCTTCCAAACAAAATACAGTGAAACCTCCAATGTGAAAACACTAAATCAGATGCGCAGGTATTCCAATAATAGATAAATTAAGAAATGATTATTAAATATTTAAACCCCCCAATTCCTGTGTTTCTCTTCCTGCTGCCAGAAGCCTTGTGGCCATCTCTGATGGGCTTACTTTCTAGGCCCTCCCATCACCAGATGAGTTATACAAGAGAGGAAATAGCAAACAATCAGCAATTTTATTTCTTTTTCATCTGTTTTACTTACTTTTTTTCAGTTTACAATAAAGTAAATACAGTTATCAGAAAAAAATAGGGCTGTAGGTTATTTTAATTTAAATTGTTCACAAGTCTGCTACCTATGGTCTAGGTTTCTGCAGAGAATCAAAAGTCAGCTTTAACTTAAATTCTTACATATGGATTTCTTTTTAAATGCAATTTAGCACATTACTATAACAAATATTTTGAGGTTCAGAGATAATCTGATGACTTTCTAGAGTAATTAAAAGGGAGGAATGACCTCTATTAACTGTAGGGAAAAGTCAACATGTAGAGTTAACTTTTAATCTTACATCAATTACTTCTAGCTCAAGCAAGTGAGAAAAATCACCAGTATAGTGACTTTAATCTTCATATAAATTTCTCTTTAGGGATCATGAAGTCACTCTTGACTTTCTTTCTCTTTTGTCTCTTGATTCAATAAACCACCTAATCTTACCAGTTTTCCCCTTGAGAATATGTCCTTTCCTTTTCAATGTCCAGACACTCACATCTTCCTACCGGAACTGTAGCTACTTTCTCTTAGATCTCCTGCTTTGTAATCTTCTCTTCTTCAGCATAAATGACACAAATTGCTATCCAGCTCTCCTAAAAACAGTGTTTACCTTGGGACTGATATTTTCAAAACCTTTCAGAGGTTTCTTATTGCTTACCAAATAAAGATGGAAAAGTCTAGTTCATCAGGCAATGTTTTATACAATCTTATCCCAGTCTCCATTTCCAAACTCATTTCCTACTATTTTTCAGCCTTATTGTCTTCTAAATCAGGTTTGCACATAACTTCCAGGGTTGGGGAAAGGATATTTTGTTTCTAGTCTGGAGTTAAGTAGCAGGTAATTGTCTGACTCCTGATGATTAATTTTAATTTTCTAAGCTGTTTAGTTTTCCACGTCTGCAAAAATATGGGGAAGTCTAGCATCAAGGGCCCATCAAGGGCTGAATTTGGTGAGAAATTATGTTTAAAATTCACAATACTTTATAAAGATTTTATAAATTTCTAATTTATAAAATTACTTCTAATACTTTTAGACCAACATAGGTTTTCTTATTGTCATAGACCCCAACACCCTTATCATGCTGCCACAGGCAAACTTCACTCTTTCCTGATGCCAACCAAGCCCCTGAAAGCCACCGTAAACTTTGTTGTTTAGTCGCTGAGTTGTGTCTGACTATTTTGAGACCCCAGGGACTGTAGCCCGCTAGGGTCCTCTGTCCGTGGGATTTCCCAGGCAAGAATATTAAGAGTGGGTTGTCATTTCCTTCTCTAGGGGATCTTCACCCAGGGATTGATCCCATATCTCCTGCATTGGCGGCAGATTCTTTACCACGAGCCACCAGGTTTGATTTCAATTCCCTTCCAACTCTAACATCTTGTATTTCTGAGTCAGATCTGGCACCATTTGTACCCACTTCTCCTTAATCCATTTTTCTGGAGTGCATTCTTTCAAAGGTGAAAAGAACACAGAAACGATATTGAAGTTATTGAGAGCAAACTTTGCTTTTTGTGGCAAATTTGTCTGGACTCTGATGGGTGATAATGAGTCCATTTATGAAGGATTTATGGAAGGCAATAAGAGCAAGAGGCCAATACTTCATTATTTTGACAAAAACATCAGTTCTTTCATCAGACACAGGTGGAAGTCAAGAATCTAACCTGCACTTTCAGGCATTTTTCTCATAACAAGCTGTAATGTTGCCAATCAGGAAATTACATACCCTGAAAGTGGTAGTATCCCAACTACTTTACAAATAAAATATCCTTGTGCTAGGAAATCACTTTCTTCATTGGTTAGGATGATTGGAATGAAAAGTTACAGAACTGGAAAAAAACTGGACCAGTCAACTTATTGACTGGGGAGACTTCAAGTTTATTGTCTTTATTTTCATCCTCTCCCCCACACCAAATTTGGTAGCTTTCTTTGTATAATAGCTATACCAGTTCTTAAACTCTGCCCTGTATTGTTTGTTTGATATCTATTGATCTTCTGCTGTTTCAATTATTTCTTTTCAAAGCAGCTTGCAAAGATTTCTTTGAAGTTAGAAGCCAAAGGTCACTTCCACTGTGAGGAGATGTATTAAATTGGATTCTTTAAAAAAAAAAAACAAACCTCAGACCTGCGTGGTAATTGAAGATATATCTCAGCAGCTGAGAACTGAAGTCTGGAATATCTGACAGCCCAGGGATGTTGGCTTACACCTGCCGTGTCTGAGCTTATTCTTTGTCCCTTCACTGGATTTGTAACTCTTAACAGCAGTGACTGAATTAACTTGCTGGGGGATTTTCAAACAGGAAGAATCTATTCTTTAAAAGAATTCTGCCAACAATATGCTCTTTGGCTTCATTTAATTGGGAGGAGTTAAGTCAGTTTCTATCTGGCAATCAAAGCCCTGGGAAATTGCTGTTTATCACACACCAGCTAACCTTTCTTTTCTTGGGAACACTTCCTGAATGTACAACTGGGGCAACTGAGATCAACTGCGGTAATTTTGATGGATGTTTCAGGATCTAATCTAGAAAGAGGGGCATTCTTATCAGAATGCTTTTGAAATGCACTTGTTCTCCATCTCACACAAAAAAACACTTATACAAAATTTAGGGCAACGAACTAGGACATCTGTTTTTCTCATGGCTTGACTGTTTCCTCTCCCCTAGAACATGCTCCAGTCCTTTTACGACTGGTCACTTGTGAGAGATTGGGTGTTGTTAATGGCCTAATGGAAGCAAATTGTTTCTTATCTCTGGAGACCGATGATATCCTCTGCATGAATGACCACTGGGATCTTCACGAGGGCCGATTTTACTGATGACCTCAGCACATGACTTGGCTGCTTAGATCAGAGAAGAAGGGAGACCGCTGGACTCTTTTTTTTTTTTCATTTATTTTTATTAGTTGGAGGCTAATTACTTTACAATATTGTAGTGGTTTTTGCCATACATTGACATGAATCAGCCATGGATTTACATGTGTTCCCCATCCCGATCCCCCCTNAAAATATGTTTTATTATATAAGCCAATGGATGCTTAGCTGCAAAATAGATATGGTAGAGTTAAACCATAAGAACATATTTAACTCACAGTTTTATAAAAAGATGTTATTTTAATCACCTTTATCATTTGAGCTTGAGTGAAAGAAGGAAAGCATTAGTGGGTAAAGTAATGCAATTGAGAGGTGGAAATGGGCAGATGAATATACCTATAGCAACTTTTCTTAAACCAATACTACAATTGTATGATAGACAGTGTATCTGCAAGTCTACAAATGCAGGTATAAATTAGCCAAGATACTTGATATTTTATAAAGACCAAATACTCACTGCAGCAGGAATTACGTCTAATATTATTTCATCCACTTATGAAGGATGCAAAAGGATAACAGTCTCTGTTCCTACAGAACTTATAATCTGTTGCAGCTACTTCTAGAAACCAAACATTATGTATATCAGGGCTTCAGGTTAAAAATCCTTCATACTGCCTCACCAGCACATTAATAAAATCTGACAGTATGAAAGAGGAATAACAAAACATTGGTTATTTTACCAAGTTTAAAATGTTTAGTGAAAATGCACAATGCACTGGTTTATTTAGATTCTCTTTTAATACTTTTTTAATCAATGTAGGATTAACCAGTTTAAAGTCATCCACTGAATTAACAGTGTTATTCATGATCATAAAATTCCAACAAATTTTATGGTTAAATAAATTTCATTGGTTAAATAAATTTAATAATATCCTTACGATAGAAAGATATGCAACTTCTAAACAATTTGTTTGGAGTAATGTTTATAACAGGGAGGAAAGAATGGCTCACAATATCAAGATGAAAAAACTCAAGAAATACAGGTGTCCACATTATTTTGTAAGGAAATATATACATGCTTTTCAAAAAAAGACTAAATGGAAATAAAACAGTGATTATTTCTGGATAATTGAATTGCAGGTTCTTCTGTTTGTTTTCCAATATTTAATATTGAACGTTATTATTTATGTGATCAGCTATAAGATGATGCTTTTAGGGCTTCTCTGGTGGTCAGTGGTTGAGTCTGCCTCGCAATGCAGGGGACACTGAGTTGATCCCTGGTCTGGGAAGATCCCACGTGCCCTGAGCAGCTGAGCCTATGAGCTACAACAGCTGAGCCCGTGTTCTAGAGCCTGAGAGCAGAAACTCCTGAGCCCACGGGCTGAAGCTCCTGAAGCCCTTGCAACCTAGAGCCCATGCAGAAGCCCAGTGAGAAGCACGTCCACTGCAACGAAGAGGAGTCCCCCCTCACGGCAAATAGAGAAAGCCCACACACAGGAACAAAGACCCACCACAGCCCAGAAGCAAAATAAATAAACACATGAATAAATTTTAAAAGAAAAAGAGTATGCTTTTAAAGGTGGTTTCAGTATATTAACAACTATGTGGTCTTGAAAAAGGGAATTTTTCTTTTTTTTTTCATTTATTTTTATTAGTTGGAGGCTAATTACTTTACAATAATGTAGTGGTTTTTGTCATACATTGACATGAATCAGCCATGGATTTACATGTATTCCCCATCCCGATCCCCCCTCTCACCTCCCTCTCTACCTGATCCCTCTGGGTCTTCCCAGGGCACCAGGGAAAAAGGGAATTTTTCTACCTCTAGGTCATACAGGTTTGTATCCCCCAGTAATGTCTTATTATCCTCAAAAAACATCTACCAAGAGCATGTACGAAAAGATCACACACTTCAGTTCCTTTACCTTCTCTTACTCGTGGGCAACGCAGTTGACTTCCTTGGATGTCATTTTGTTCAACTTTGTGCCAAGTGAGGTACTTAAAAGAATCTGATGGAAGCTTTAAAGTAAGAGAGAAGAGAAATATCATCTGGTGATAAACAGTTCACTTACTTTATGTGTACAAGTAATGTGAACCCATCCAAACATTGAGCTAAATCGAACTCTAGGTACCTAATGACATACTTATTGATGTTATGTTAGTCCAATCTAAATTATTTATTTTTATTCAATTTTGCATCTTCCAACATCTACAACTGATTTATGTTTGATGACAAATGATAGCACAAATAAATATATGTACCCATTCATGAATCCACTTTACACCACCTCTAATAATCTGTCCTCTGATATTTATTGAATAGCTCATGAGGAATCTCATTCTATTTTAGAATAGTTGTAATTGTTAAAGGTTCTTCATTATATGGGTCCGAAGTAATCCTTCTAAGTTAGTCCAGTTGTACAAGCTCTGCCTTTTGAGGCTACACAGAAGAATCCCTTCACATTTTAAGAGTCTGATAATAGTTGTCATCCTCTTTGTCATTTAGTTATTACTTACAGATCATGGTTTACAAATTATTGACTACTCAGGAAGAGTGTGGTTCTCCTTGAGAAGAGTTTCATTTTACTGACATTGTTCCTAAAATGTGTGGCCAATATTGAATGAAATATTTCAGGTCTCTGGTCATCTTCCTTGTTCTGGACAGTGTATTGCTGACCAGAATATGTGTCAAGATCACATCTGGGGCAATTTTATGCTGTTTATTACTATTGAAGCTGTAGTCAATCAAAATTCCTAGTATCTTACATGACTTATGATAGTTTCAAGGTTAGCACAAATAAAAAGGCATATTACTCAGCAAAGAATATTATGTTAAATACATACGCCATAGATTCATTCTTCTGTTAGCCATGTTATACCTATACAGACAAACCAAGGATATTTGATTTGAAGAAATGCCATTACAATATTTGGGACAACTACATTCATCTCACAGAACAGTATTTTGTATAGTTTTTCTTTGCTTGAGGCTGTGTGACTAACATAAAAAACATTTTCATCATTAAATAAGATTATGAGGCACTGGATTAAACCAAGCTAAACATTTATCTTTACTACAGGACTTCTCTGAACCTTTAGTATCCTAAGATATATTGTGAGTCTGTACTATGAAGTATTTTCCTGGACTTTTAAACCACAGAACCTTTGATTCTTAGCATAGCACATGGAACTAGCTCATCCTATAAAGCAAAATTTGGGGCAAGCTGCCTCAAAATAAATTGGGAAGAGGTGGGTTTTTAATAATCGTTTTAGCTTTGATCTTTTACCTTCATTACTTGTTTACTGAATGACCTTAGTTTTTCCAGAAATATTTAAACATATTCATTTAAAAAATAACAAAAGTTCTCTAACTTGATTAACAACATTAAAAAGTTAATTAATGCTTGAGCAATTCTTTGGGACAATCTGAGGATTTGCTAACAGACTTTCAAGTAATTCACTTATTCTTCAGAATCAGTTTTTAAAAAACTAAGAAGCACAAACACATTTTAGATTATTGAAAAATGTAGTCTATCTTGGGCTGTTCGGTTTACATGTTTGTGGAAGCATCTTTCCCAGTCTGTTATGTGCTTTTGGAATTTGCTTTGCTTGTTACTGTCATAGAATAAAAATTTTTTAGAAGTTAAATTTCCTGTAGTTGCCACATCCAATTGCCTTTTTGTGCTATTTCATGAGACTCTAGCTGGGAAAAAATGAATTTAAGCTAAAGTTATACTGAAAATAAAGTTTCCATTTTTCAACTGATATCTAATTTTGTGCCCCTCCCAAAAAACTGTCAGTTTTTTAAAGGAGTTATGTGGTTGATTTGGGGGTTTCTAACATCACAGGAAAATGAACCATTGCATTTCTTTATGTCTGTGAAAGGCTGTCAACATATTGCAGTTGTGTGACCATGCTTTCTTAAAGGACTCGTGAATATTCCTGTGTCTTACCCTGTTCTTTTTTTATTTTAATGGACCAAGTGATTAATCCATTGGTTCAATAAATATTTTTGAAACTAGAATGCTTCAACTCACTAATTTATTGAAAAATAAATATGGTGCCCCTGCTATGTGTGCTTTTGGAATTTGCTTTGCTTGTTACTGTCATAGAATAAAAATTTTTTAGAAGTTAAATTTCCTGTAGTTGCCACATCCAATTGCCTTTTTGTGCTATTTCATGAGACTTTAGCTGGGCAAAAATGAATTTAAGCTAAAGTTATACTGAAAATAAAGTTTCCGTTTTTCAACTGATATCTAATTTTGTGCCCCTCCCAAAAAACTGTCAGTTTTTTAAAGGAGTTATGTGGTTGATTTGGGGGTTTCTAACATCACAGGAAAATGAACCATTGCATTTCTTTATGTCTGTGAAAGGCTGTCAACATATTGCAGTTGTGTGACCATGCTTTCTTAAAGGACTCGTGAATATTCCTGTGTCTTACCCTGTTCTTTTTTTATTTTAATGGACCAAGTGATTAATCCATTGGTTCAATAAATATTTTTGAAACTAGAATGCTTCAACTCACTAATTTATTGAAAAATAAATATGGTGCCCCTGCTATGCGGCAGGCACTATCTCAGACACTAAAGATACAGAGTTAAATAAAATATGGTATTTGTGCTTGAAAAACTCATTTTCTGTCATTTGAGAGGCAAACATAGAAATAACTCATTTTCATCCAAGGAAAAGTGGAAAAGTTTTGAATGAAGGAAAGGAGGGACAAAACTTTGTGATTCCACTTAGATGGATTAAAGAACAGTCTTGGAAATGGTACATTTAGGAGGAAAATTTTTTATCTGGTGGACAAAGGATATTCCATAAAGAAAGGAGATAATTCTTAGACTAGAGACAGAATTTGAACTCAATTTGAACTCAGTGGGGAAAGGAAGGGATACCATTGTTATGTCTCTGGTCATTATCTTTTCTATTCATCTCTATCTCTTTTGTCTTCCTTCCTCCCCCCCAGATTCTTTCCTCTCTGAGGTGGGACTGAGAGTAACAACTTTCATTTTCTCCCCAGTTACAAGGATAGATTTAAGACATGTTTGCGTGTGTGCTAAGTTGCTTTGGTCATGTCCAACTGTTTGTGGCCTTATGGACTGTAGCCTGCCAGACTCCTTGATTCATGGGATTTCCCAAGCAAGAATACTGAAGTGGGTTGCCAGTCCCTCCTCCAGGGAATCTTCCCTACCCAGGGATCGAACCCGCATCTCTTATGATCCTGCCTTGGCTAGCAGGTTCTTTATTACTAGCGCCACCTTGGAAGACATGTATACACTTATTAAAAAGTGTGAAGTGTTAATTAAAATGCATGTTAAACTTAAGACTAAGTAAAGAACAAATTAAAAAATACTTACCAGGGATGATATTCCAGAATCTGAACGAGAATACGGTGTTCTGTTCCTGGAGAGAGCCCACGGTGTGTGTGTCTCACTCAGATAGAAGCCATAGGATGAATTAGATGGACAAGTCTCCTGATCAGTTGCATTTTGGCCTGAGGAGCTGAGTGAAAGAAAATGCTTAAGCGGTTCGGGAGGGATGAATACTTATGCCTGATCCACATTTTTGCAGGGCAGAAACCAATACAACATTGTAAAGCAATTATCCTCCAATTAAACATTTTAAAAAATGCTTAAAGTTTTTAAATGCAAATATCTTTGAATAAAACAACAATAGCCACAAATTATAAGCATCAGCTTTTCCATTTATAGGAGAGATAAGTGATACCCTAGGAATTCTGTCATAGGCCTAAATACAATTTTTATGGCTGACAGTCACTTAAGGCAAATTCTCCTCCAGATAAGAAAGAGTGTCTACAGAGAGTGCACATCTTTGAAAAGTAAATCTAATAGTACACACAAATACATACTCGTAGGATATGAATAGGGAAATCAGCCCTAATTTTGTAATACCATTCCTAGTAGAACTAATACTACAGATTTGGCTAGTGCCAAATAAGCTTTAAACTCTCTACTGGTTTTCCCATTGATCTGGGTCTTCCATTTTCCCTGAAATTTCCCCTAGACCTATTATGTTTCCTCAAATTGGTGGCAAACATATTAAAAATTCAGGTTCTTTCATCAATTTTATTCACTTTAAAATACTGCTCAAATATTTCACTTAAAAACAGTCCTATTCCTTCTGTATTCCCATTGTTGTGCCACTGAGATATAAAATGTCTTTTTGCTTTCCTGTAGTTATTTACTGTTATTCTTGCACTTTTCCCTTTCTCCTCAAGAGTGGTTCTGTTTCTCTTTCTGTAATTGGTACTGTATATTACTTTAAGTCAATTTAAAAATAATATCTGAGTATGCTTTTTCATGTTAAGTAAAACTAGAAGTTGTATCTATCTCTGGCCTCCTTTTACCCTTGATGGATTATTTCTCAGGCTCCGAGAATCTTAAGAGACAGCATTCTATATTTTATGGCACAGTTATTATGAAGCTCTGTAGCAATTTTGCTTACAAGAAACTGACACATCTCTTGTATATTGAAGTTGCCTTCATGAAGTATAATGTAGAAATGTCTTTCATTTTTCATGTATTAACTGATGCGTTAAAGTAGAAGAGCATAGCCATTACATCATATTCTTAAAATAGTGCTATTGTACCATTAAGAAAATAAAACAACTGTCTCCTTGTGTTATCAAGGAGAAAATTATCCCTCCATCTACCACTAAATAGCAAAAGATTTGGTCTTAATCATGTGAAAAACTCAGAAAATATATACCTCTCCAATATTCCCCAATTGAGCAATTCTTTAATAAACTGGATATGGTTTTCTTGACATACCAAAGAATACCTTACCATGGCAACAAATTAACAAACATTAGAAAAACATTACAGTGTGCAAAATTTATTATTCCTGAAGCAGGTAAATCCTGCTGTCTCTAACCAGAGTTTTGGCCAACAATCAGGGAGAATAAAATAAGGCAAAATGGAATAGTATTTCAGGGAATGAACAGAGGATAAACGTTTAACTGAATTTTGGTTCTCTTGTCTTTATGAAAATATGCTAGCCATTTTCTGCCAAAATGAAATCAGGAAGATAAGGATAATGATATGACTGACTCTTCTGTGATTCTGAACTTTAGTAATGGTTATACAGTGATGAGGGCCTGACAAAACATGGTCCACTGGAGAAGAGAATGGCAAATCACTTCAGTATTGTTGCCTTGAGAACCCTATAAACAGTATGAAAATCTGGCTTAAAACTCAACATTCAAAAAACTAAGATCATGGCATCCAGTTGTATCACTTCATGGCAAATGGATGGGAAAAAAATGGAAACTGTCAGATTTCATTTTCTTGGGCTTCAAAATCAATGTTCACACTGACTGTAGTCACGCAATTAAAAGACACTTGCTCCTTGGAAGAATAACTATGGCAAACCTAGACAGTGTATTAAAAAGCAGAGACATTACTTTGCCAACAAAGGTCCGTATAGTCAAAGCTTTGATTTTTCCAGTAGTCATGTACGGATGTGAGAGTTGGACCATAAAAAGGCTGAGCACCAAAGAACTGACGCTTCCAAACTGTGGTGTTGGAGAAAACTCTTGAGAGTTCCTTGGACTGCAAGGAGATCCAACCAGTCCACCCTAAATAAAATCAACCCTGAATATTCATTGGAAGGACTGATGCTGACTCTGATGATCCAATACTTTGGCCACCTGATGCAAAGAGGTGACTCATTGGAAAAGACCCTGATGCTGGGAAAGACTGAAGGCAGAAGGAGAAGGGGACCACAGAGGATGAGATGGTTGGATGGCATCACTGACTCAATGAACATGAGTTTGAGCCAACTCAGGGATATAGTGAAGGACAGGGAAGCCTGGTGTGCTGCAGTCCATGGGGTTGCCAAGAGCCAGACACGACTTCACAACTAAACAATAACACGGTGATGAGAAACAGGCCCAATAGGAAAATCAGAAAGTGTCTCTCTCTCTCTTGTTTTGAAACCTTAAGTGTGAGAAATGATCTTATTTTGTTTAAAGGAGAGCACAGGGAACCATAAGTTCACAAGCCAAAATGTCTAATAAGAAGGATCCAGTTGATCGGGTTTTCACTGTACTTTGGTTGTGTAGTGCTGCAAGACCAGGCACAACAGCTTCAAGGTAAAATCACGTTTACAAAGAACTGAAAATTATCTCATTATCTTAGTTTATATTAGATTGTTTGAAAGTTTAAACTAGAAGAACTATTTGTGCCATTATCTTGACTGCTACTAGACATTTGTGAATAACAGAAAGTACTTAAAACTTTGGTAACAGAAATAAATAGGCAAATAACATCCTTTCTCTTTCACCGGCTGTTTTCCTGCCAGAATGGAATGAAATAAATTTGGTCTAGAGTTTCAGCTAAGGACAGATTATCTGAGAAGATTCTAATCAGTAGATAACTAGTGTGACTCTCTTTCAGTGTGATTACTTTCTGTGGGTCCCAAAGGCTGGATTCTTTCTCTCATATTCATATATTCCTCCTGGACACCACACCAGAGGGCAGTGGTGAAGAGCAGTGTGCTCACATTGTAAAGTAAAACCTTTGGGGAATTCTGAAGCTCTTCTTTGTTCCATTACTTCTATCATGAATTCCATATAGAAGTTTATTTTGGTCTGGTTTGGGGGGGAAAATATCAGCAAATAAAGATTATTTGTGATCCTTTAGTTTAAAAAAAGAAAAGGTAGAGCATCTTCCAGGTTATCTGACTAATCCAAACTTCTACCGCATCTGCCTTCATGCACACTTCACTGATGTCCAGAGTGCAAAACAGTGAGTCCCGAGAATCTAAAACTGTTACTGCTGTGACCTTGGGTCACTTAGCACCACTGGTGGGTCCTTATATTTAATATTCAGAAGATGATGTGGACTCTGCCTGAGTGAAAAGCTTTTCTGGTTTGGTTTTGTGTTTTTTTGGCAACAATATTAATAGGATGCCAACTATTACTTATATAATGATTTTATAAGTAACATTTATTAATCATATGCTATGTGCTAGGCATTATTCTAAGAACTTTACAGAGATTAACTCATTTAATCATTGTTGTTGTTCATTCACCAAGTTGTGTCCAAGTCTTTGCAACTTCATGGACTGCAGCATGTCAGGCTTCCCTGTCCTTTACTATCTCCCAGAGTTTGCTCAAATTCATGTCCATTGAGTCAGTGATGCCATCTAACCATCTCATCATTTGCCACCCCGTTCTCCTTTTGATTTTAATCTTTCCCAGCATTAAGGTCTTTCCCAACAAGTTGGCTCTTCACATCAGGTGGCCAAAGTATTTAATCATTAAAATCACCAAAGTGCATAGCATCGTTATTTTGATTTTAGAGATGAGGAAGCAGAGACCCAAAGAGGTAGCATAACTTGTCCAAGTCAAACAAGTAAATGATCAAGTATTTTTAATTACTACAATTCAAATAAGATTCAGATAAGATACTGTGATTCTTTAACTGTAAATCTGTATCATTTATTTGGATGCAGTTGTTATTAAGGAAAATCATTAATATTGATTTTTCCTATTCTGATTGCTTCACTTAACTACAGATAAATAATTCACTAGTTAATAGAACATGTAAATCTGAGCAGTGACTCTTTACTGAAAATAAATGGTAAGCCTTTAGTAGTAGAACCTATGAGAACATCATTCCAGGTAACATCAAGCTGTTTTAAAAACCCTCTCATGTCTCCCCTCCCCAAAGAAAATAAAACCAGGCTTATAGTTTAGTTGGTATTTTGGTTTATTCATTTTTAATCTTTCTGCCTGCGTTGAACAAATAAATATCATAAATTGCAACTCTAAACCTTATGAAAGAGAAATTAATTTTATTAATGCTTTAATATAAAGTTGCCATGACTAAAACAGTACAGCATTCGTCAGGAGTGATTTATGGTGTCTTTAAAATAGGTGGTATTATCTGAATTGGCCATCTGTTCTTGGTTTCAAAAAGTGTAGAATGGCCAACAAGAGTGAATCTGGTGAGCTGAGACTGCAGGACGAAAAACAATAATAATATAAGTTATCAATTCATGAGCCCCTTTCATTGGAAGATTGCATTGTTGTTTACAATCAGGAATTTATAAGCCTCATAAATTGTCTGCTGCAAAGGGATGCTATCTATTTAATTAAAATGTCAAGTTGGTGATTATGTAGCTTTGCAAGGACAGGAAAGGAGGAAGTGGCAAATGGCCTAGTTTCTAAGGTGAAGCCGAGCTTCTGGGATGAAGGAGGCTGTATTGAACACACACCATCCAGAATGCCAGGGGGCTCCTTCAGACAGTCAGTGTGGTCAAGATGGCATTGCTTACAACTCCATTTCTAAATGTTCCATTTATATTCAGTGCTGCATCATGAAAGCTTTGTATTTAGAAGAAAAAGAAACAGCTCAATCATATTTTTCAGTTAGCAAAGGACGCTCCCCAAGTCCTCAGATGCTTTCTTACTCCCCCCACATTATTGAGCTAGGCTCTCAGATCTAGTGGGATCTTGCTAAACCCATGCACTTGGGCTATCAACTAGAGGAAACTTACCATGAACTCTAGAGCATTAAATTTGGCTGAAAGAAGATATCAATCCAATCTCTGATTACTTTGACCATTCTTCTTATCTTTTAAAATCCAGAGACCTTGTCCTCTCTATACCTATATGTAAGTTTATTCATTTGTAGAACAGGTGATGATTGTGCTATCTACATGTTAGGGATGGTGAGGAGATATTGTAAAACACTGAAAAAGAAGGTTTCATGAAATCAAGAAGTCTTTTGCAATTATAACATGTTAATGTCTGAAGTAGCAAATTTGGCATACCATGTTATTGCCTTCAAATTTCTAATGGCTCTAAATTAAGTTCCTAGAACTAAATCCATAAATTAAGTAAATAATCACATAGCAATGAATGTTCTAAAAATCTCGTGTGTTTTACAAATGTCCCTAAAATTTTAGTACCTAAGGCCCAGAGTTTTAACAGATATATCTGAAACTATTTAGATTGTTGATTCTAAAAACACAGAGGTACAAATTATAATTTTGAAAAATATACAACTAAAATTGTCATTTCTTTATTTCTATCTTAATGGTCCGATTTTAATTTTATGTAACCTTGTATTCTAATGAATTTTTCCTGTCCCTGTTGCTCTAGCCCCATGTACATTCCTATAAACACAAATAGGCCCCCATATTAAGATACAACAAAAGTAAAAGGACAAATGTTATCAAAATTCTTTAGAGGAAAAGCTTGTAAACTTCAGTACCTATTAATGGGTTCATTGACATTTTTAGAAACACAAAGTTATATTAAAATCCTAGGAACAATGAAGATAAACTGAGATACCTCTATGTTTTCTTTATAAAATTATATTTAGAAATTTTTAGAATGTTATTGCAACCACATATATATCTGCTATTTAGAAGGTTCCCAGTACTTGAGGAATGTTTTACTACTCGCTACATTGTTATAGTTTTGAAAATTCAACCACATACAACACTGCAAAGGAGAAGAAGAATATAGACACTAAAGGACAATATGTGATTAGGTAGTTTTGTCAACAGAGACAAAACTAGAAAATTTCAAATGAAATTAACAGTATGTTAGGAAGGTAGTCTGACCAAGACTTGTTTCATGATGTGCAGAAATGTGATCGAACAAATACTGGCACTAAGAAAACATTTTTTTTTTTCTTTTTTCTTCTTCCTTCCCTCCCTCCCACTCTTTCCCCACTCCTTCAAAATTTGAAGATTAAACTTTAAGTTGCAGCCTGGCCATCACTTTTTACCCTGTCTCTGAAATAATTTTATAAAATGTACCAGCTTAAAAATAATAATATTGATCAAAAATATCATTTTTTTTTTTTACAGAATTCATGAGTAAACTTCCTCTTGGTACAGTGTATTCAAGGGTGTTAGCAAGTAGGAAAAATTAATTTATAACTGGTCACAAAACTTCTACACATTTAAAAACCATTGATTCACATGCCCATTTCTAATTATTTCACAGTTTTTGACATTAAAATCAACATAACATCTACATACTGCTGAGATAAGATGTTCAGAGTTTGCTAACTAAAATAAAATTTCTGTAATATAACTGCTTCAGCCTTTAAATCCCTACTTAAGCATGAGTCCTATCTTAACTATAGGCAGTAAATTTAGAGGGCTATAAATAAATTTCACACAATCATGAAAGCACAATGTATTTCATCCTGAAAACTGAAGGGGCAAATCTCACTTTTTTAAGGATGAGAGCCAATTGAAACTCATCTAAGGACAAAACATTCAAGTCCTTAAGAGACCTAATCATATGTTGTCTAATTATCAGCATGCTTTGAGAAACATTTATGAAACAGCTATAAAATTTAGGAATGAAGAAACAAGGATCGGGTTTTGGCCTCTAATTTAATCTGGTTTATGACTTTATTGATCTAGCAAAGGTTTATGACTTTATTGATCTAGCAAAAGTCCTGTTTTCTGGTAGTTATTTCATTTAAATGTAACTAATAGATAAAACTAATATTAACTATAATTAGTGGGTATTAACTAATAGATACTTCCTTCTGGCTGTCCTATCTGATCTTCCCCCTGAAGTTCACACACGTTCTCTTAAAGTGCCATGCGTAGCTATGAATGTACCACTACTAGGCTGTTAAGTCCAGCTCTCTGTTACAGCAACGATTACCTGAATTGCATTTGTAGCCAGTTGCCTGCATATAGGAGAGGTGGTGGCTCATTTTCTCTAAGCAACAGTCATCAGTAACCCAGATTTCATAATTTTACATTTTTAAATGAAATTTAATCCAGGAACACACAAACCTGTGGTTGTCTGTTTTCTCTTAAGGAATGAATAAGACTACTTGTAATATTTTGTTTGCTTACCTTTTGGACATGTCTTGCTGGTGCATAAAGTTCCTCTGGCCTTCCTAAACCTATTTTTCTGAAGACATTTTTCATCCCATTCCCAGAAGAGCTGTCCAGCAAGAATCAGCAGCCTTCTTCTGGGGTCTTCCATGTGTTCACCGTGACCAAGGAAACAAGCTGTTACCTAGCAACCTGGCCCTTTAGGAGGTTTTGTTACCAATCTGTTAGTGCTCATCAAAGGAATTCCTGGGCTCCTGGAGCAGCTAATGGTGGATGCTGTTTCCAGGGAGTTTTCTAAACTGTGGTATAACTGAACCTTGACTACAGAAACATAAATTATAGCAGAGGGAGCAAATGGCCCTGGCACCCCTGAAAAGTGTGCTGTCTTTAGCTCTATTATTTCTTGAATTGTCTGCATCTGGCTTGGGTTTAGTTGAAGTGGTACTGATGCCATGTATCCCTCAGTATTTGGTTTCGTGCTCCTCTTCTGAAGTTTCAGAACAAGCAGAAGGAGCAAAAGGGAAGTTATCTAATTCCAGTTTGAAACTTGGTCAGATAACACACCTTGGAATTGAAGGTAGGGAATTCTGCCTTGTTCAGCACAAGAAAACAAAAAGTATTTCCAAGCAAATGTTTACAGCCTGTCACAGAAAAAGGAGATAATATCATACTGTATTCTCATTTACTGATTCAAGAAGTCTGCTTAGAGTGCCTGCTATGTAGGTAGACAGCACTGTGAATTTTTAACTTCAGGAGCTGATAAAACAAAAGTTCAGCCTGCTACTTGCATGCCTTCTTTCCTCCAAATAGAAAATGTTAGCTGTGCTTTTGAGGACTGAGAATTTGTTGTTTGCCAGAAGCACAGTAAACACTTTCATAGTCTCTACTGATTCAGAGAACAAGACATTTGCGAAACCATTTTATTTAAAAGCTCATTTCAAAACAAGATATTTGGCATGTCCTGCAAAAGAGCATTATGTTTCCATTTCATTTCTCTTTCCAAGCAGTGGTAATCCATCCATAGGCTAAAAATTTTCAGTAACCTTTGAAATGTGTTTCATATCAAAAGAATGTAAACACATTCTCTACATTACGTTTCTGTTAGAACTTATATTACACACAAAATGTTTCAGGCTGAAACTTAGCATAAAAACTTTCTGTGCTAAAAAATATCATTTGATATATTTGGTAAAGACCCACAATTGACTTGTTTCTGTCCAAGTTAGTATAATTAAGAAAAGTTATCAAATATCTATAAAAGTTACATCTCAAATTTTCTGAATATTTTTTCCATGATAGTAGTAGAGACGCCAAATGGCAGACATTTCTTTACCCTTGTCATTTCTAAGCATCCTCAGAATTTCCCCAACTCCAAAAATTGTAAACCAGTATTATCCCAAGATGAATTAATTAAATTATAAACTGGTCTTAATTAATATTTTTAGCTTTATAGCCCCCCAAACACACCATAGCTCCACTATCTCAGGCAAAAGCTATTCATGCTCAAATGTTTTCATTCTGACTTTGCCAGAATCCTCTGATCCAATTGTCTCCACCAGTCTCCCAGTTGATCCTCACACCTTCTCTATCTTCTAACTTCCAAGATCTCTTCTCCCATTCTTACTTCCACAAAGCAAACAGAAAGAAATTTCCTCAGGGCCCCATCATCCATTCATCCACCCACTCTCATCTTCCTGCCTATTTTCCATGCTTTCTCCTCATTTACAGGTATGACATCAGCACTTCTTTCTTCATTTGTGGACTAGAGCCTGTCCCTTCATCTCTCCTCAAGACCATTGGTCCAGAAATTCCTCTGCATCATCAATTTCTCCTCTTCACTGCATCATTCCCACAAACATATAAACCTGCTGTTATTTTCCCCATTTAAAGCAGAAACCAAGCAAAAATGCCCTGGATCCATTTCTCGATCCAGCTTCATCCCATTCCTTTATATCCATTACAGTGCGGGGAAAGCTTTGCAAGAGTTGTCTATGCTTGCTACACCCAGTTCTCTTCCCATCCCTCTTGAACTCATTCAGCTGTTGTTTTCACTCTACTGCTTCACTGGAACTACATTTGGCTTGGCCACTAATGACCTTCGAGTCACTAAATTCAATGGTTGGTTCCTAGCTCGCATTTCCTCGATCTAGCCACTGTATTTGAAACATGGTGCTCGCTTCGGCAGCACATATACTAAAATTGTATTTGAAACATCAAGTTACTCTCTTCCCTGGAACACTTTCTTCATTTGGCTTCTAGGACCCCGCACTCAACTGGTTTTCTTTCTATTTTATAATCTCTTTTGCTATTCCCTACTCATCCGACTAATGTCTTAATACTGATGTGTCCAAATCTCAGTCTTTAGACTTTTTCTCTCAACTCACTCCATTAATGATCCTATCCAGTCTCATGGCTTTAAAAACAATTTATATGCTAATGACTCCAATATTTATAACTCCATCCTAGACCCCTGCCTTCTCTCTCTTGAATTCCAGGGCTATATATTTACCTGCCTACTTGACATTCCTCTGGATGTTTCATAGTCACCTCCATCTTAATATTCCCAAAATAAACTTCTAAATCTCCTATCCAGACCAATCCCTTTTATATCCTTCATTTATACAAACCAAAAATCATGGAATTATCCTTAACTACTCTTTTCTTTCAAATATTGTATCCAATCCCTGGTGAAATCCTTTCAGCTCTAACTCAAAATATATTTAGAGTCTGGCCACTTCTCATCCACTCCATGGCTACCACAAGACCCCATATTTTTTTTTTTAACTTTGTATTTTGTCTTGTAATTTAGCCAATTCACAGTGTTGTGATAGTTTCTGGTGAACAGCAAAAGGACTCAGCCATACACATACATGTATCCATTCCCCAAATTCCCCTCCCATCCAGGCTGCCATATAACATTGAGCAAAGTTCCCTGTGCTACTTATGGTACCATAAGACTCCATATTTCTCATTTATTTATTGAACTATAGAAACTATAGTAATGAACACTAACAATATTGTGTTAGTTTTGGGTGTGTAGCAAAGATATTCAGAATATATATTCAGATTCTTTTCCATTATAGGTTATTATAAGATAATGAATATAGTCCCCTGTGCTATATACAATGGGTCCTTGTTGTTTATCAACTTTATATATAGTGGTGTGTATTTGTTAATCCCAAACCATTTATTCCTACCCTACTTTCTCCTTTGGTAACCATAAACTTGTTTTCTAAGTCTGAGTCTAGTTCTTGTTTGTAAATAAACTCATTTGTATCATATTTTTAGTTTCTATATATAAGTGATATCATGTCATGTCTGTCTTTCTCTGCTTGACTTACTTCACTTAATATAATAATCTCTAGGTCCATCCATATTGCCTCAAATAGCAATGTTTCATTATTTTTATGGCCGAGTAATATTCCAATGTACATATATAGCACATCTTCTTAAATTAGTCATCTGTTTACGGGCACTTAGATTGTTTCCATGTCTTGGCTATTGTAAGTAGTGCTTCTGTGAACACTGATGTGAGACCCCCATATTTCTTAACAGTATTATTGCAACAGACACTTCACTCGTCTCCTGGTTCAAACAATGCCCCTCACATTCTGTCCTCAAACGTAGCATGCAGAGTGATTCTGTTAGTTATTCTTCATATCAAACACTCAAACAGTTATCTATCTCACAAAGAAAGGACCAGCATCCTTACAAGGAAGTACAAGGCACTGATATATCTGGCATTAAAGAAAGTAATATCTCAAAATTAAAACTACTTTTGAAGTGTCCTCAAAACAATCAAGATTCAAGTTGACTAAGGTTCTTTGACAACTACCTGGAAGCCCAGGCTGATATATGATGTTAGACAATTAACTCTTTGAAAAAATCCTTCTACTTTTCTCTCTTATGGGCATCCCAGGTGGCGCTAGTGGTAACGAATCTACCTGCCAGTGCAGGAAACACAAGAGACTTGTGTTCCGTCCTTAGGTGGGGAAGATCCCCTGGAGTAGGAAGTGACAACCTGCTCCAACATTCTTGCCTGAAAAATCCTATGGACAGAGGAACCTGGCAGACTATAGTCCAAAGAGTTGCAAAGAGCCATACACGACTGGGCGACTAAGTATGCACACTACTTTTCTCTTAAGTTTCAGGACCAGTTAAAAGAAGAAATGTCCCAAATTTGGAATGTGAGCTGTTAAAAAAAAAAAAAGGCTACCATTTACAAGTGCTTCTCTGTATAATGGAGTGTTTTCTCAATATTGTGAAATAAAAACAAAAGGTAGAGTTTGTGGGTAGCTTCAGACAGTGGTAGCAGACCAGTTACCAGATCCCTAAGAGGTCCTCTTAGCATGCAGCACACACGTAATAGGTCCTCTGAAAAGTATACAAAACAAAAAGAAGGGAAAATTGTGTCTGCACAAAAACTCAGCAGACCTGGAGAACCGAGAGTGCTCAAACTTCAAAATAACTATGAATTAAAAACAATGATGAATCTTTTTTTCATCTCATGTGTCTCTCATTTGTCAGTCCTAGCCTCTCTCTACAGCAGTACATCAAGGAAAGCAAAAGCTGACCAAGAAAAATTGTGGAAAGGACAGAAAAAGATGGAGTCCAAAGTAGATCTAAATCTATCACAAGAAAAGATCAAGTCCCACCTAACCAGAATGTGTTATAAAACTGTCCACACAAATCAGAGGAAGGATTATTAGGGAAGAGATTTCAGAGTATGCCAGGTGAAAAAGCCCAGGCATGATATAAAGGGGACATCTTTGAAATATGTAACTTCTGGGAGAGAAAAAATGTGAAAAAAGAAGTGAGAACTTCCCTTTGGCAATTAGGATGTGGAGACAAAGATAAAAGGGAAAATATAACGTCTTATAATACGAAGTAGCATGTCTAGATGGAAGGACTCACAATTCATCCTGTGTCAGGTAATATCTCCCCCAGAGATGTCCACATCTGAATACCCAGAGTCTGGGAATGTGTTACCTTTCATAGAAAAAGGGAAGTAAGACAACAGATGGAATTAAGGTTGCTAATTAGCTGACCTCAAGACAGGGAAGATTCTCTGGGTTTGCCAGGTGGACCCAATGTAATCACAAATACCCTTAAACATAAGAGGAAATAAAGAGAATCGGTGTCAGAGAAAGACAGC